CTGAACATCACACGCAATGACGTGGCCGTCTATCGGGCACTGCCTGGCGGCAAGGACGAGTGGGATGAGAACAGCCTGCGCATCCACAAGCAGTATCTGGTGGGAGCCAAGCAGTTCTTCATCATCCAGCTGTACGACAAACTACGGCGCGGCAAGGAATACGTGGTGCACATTCGCTACACCGGCATTATAAAGGACTACTTGCAGGGCTTCTACCGCAGCTCCTATAAGGTGCTCAATGAGACCAGGTGAGCTACGTATCATAATAGTTTTACTGAATTTTCTAATTAAAGAAATACTCATAAGCGGCCATACAGTACAGTAGAGTTTAGAGAGAATCAGAGAGAATTTCTGAAAACTGTACTAGATGAATAGAGGGATGTATCGTTAGCAAATATTAATGTAATTCTATAAAGATCTGAAGAGTAAATGTTGTATAAAATAGGCCCCACAACTCGTTCCTATAGAACTCCGGCGCAAATAGATTTATTTCTTAGACATAGTTTCGTTCAACTTTACGAAAAAGGTTTTAAACTAACAAAAACATATTTAATTTATAATCAACATAATTTTTGTCTTTTTGACTTTCTCAGATGGCTGGCCTCAACACAGTTCCAGGCCACGGACGCACGACGCGCCTTTCCCTGCTTCGATGAGCCGGCGCTCAAGGCGAACTTTACGCTGCACATAGCGCGCCCTCGTCACCTGACCACCATCTCCAACATGCCTATTATCTACAGCCATAATCAGTAAGAAGAATGATTTACAAAATAAAATTAATTAATAAAACCAATTCACAACTCACATAGCGAATCGTTGGCCAATTATGTCTGGGATCACTTTGCCGAATCGCTGCCCATGTCCACCTACCTGGTGGCCTTCGCCATCACCGACTTTAAGCACATTTCGTCTGGCAACTTTTCGGTCTGGGCTCGAGCCGATGCCATCAAATCAGCCGAGTATGCACTGAGCGTAGGCCCGAAGATTCTGGACTTCCTGCAGAACTTTTTCGGCATCCCATTTCCGTTGCCCAAGATCGATATGATAGCGCTGCCGGAATTTCAGGCTGGCGCCATGGAAAACTGGGGCCTCATCACATTCCGGGAGACGGCCATGCTGTACGACAAGGGCGTGGCCACCGCCAGCAACAAGCAGCACATTGCCTCTGTGGTCGGCCACGAACTGGCTCATCAGTGGTTCGGTAATCTGGTCACGCCCAGTTGGTGGTCGGATATTTGGCTGAACGAAGGCTTCGCCAGCTACATGGAGTATCTGACAGCGAATGCCGTGGCGCCCGAATGGAAGCTGCTCGATGAGTTTGTGGTTAACGAAATGCAAACTGTATTCCAATTGGATGCGCTCACAACCACGCATAAGATCTCGCAGGAGGTCGGCAATCCGCAGGAGATTTTCGAGCTGTTCGATCGGATTTCATATGCCAAAGGCTCCACTGTGATCCGCATGATGAGCCATTTCCTCACTGATACGGTTTTCAGGCGAGGACTGAGCAAGTATTTAAGTGAGATGGCATACAAATCCGCCACCCAGGATGATCTGTGGCGCTTCCTCACCGACGAAGCGAAAACATCAGGTCTGCTGGATAGCAGCACAAGTGTGAAGGCCATCATGGATACCTGGACGCTGCAAGCTGGCTATCCAATGGTCAAGATCTCGCGGCACCCCAATTCGGATGCTGTACGCCTGGACCAGGAGCGTTTCGTCTACGGCAACAGCAGCCATGCGGAAGGCCTTCCTCTTTGGTGGATACCCATCACCTTTACGACTGCGGACGAGCTTAATTTTGATAATACTCGGCCCACAACGTGGATACCGCGTACAAGAACCTATGAGCTGGAAAATCGTAACCTCTCCACGGCCAAATGGTTTATATTCAATATACAGCAAACGGGGTTTTACCGGGTCAACTACGACTTGGACAACTGGCGTGCAATAACTGAGCATCTGATGGACGCGAAGCAGCACGATCAAATCGCGCCCGCCAATCGGGCCCAGCTAATCGATGACGTCATGAACTTGGCCCGCGGATCCTATCTGTCGTATGATACGGCCTTGAATCTAACACGCTATCTGGCATACGAGACGAACCGCGTGGCCTGGAAGGCAGCGATTACAAACTTTAACTTTATCGATTCCATGTTTATTAACTCAGGTGATTACGATTTGCTTAAGGTACGTACACTAATCGCTGACAGTGTCGAAGCATATGGAACTCACCTTGATTACCTTTACAGAACTACCTATTGAAACTGCTGAGCAGGGTGTACAACGAGGTGGTGGACAAGGATTCGCAGAGCGACAACGAAAACATTCCGCTGCTGTTGAAGCGCTTCGAAATATTGAGCATGGCCTGTCATCTGGGCCAACAGCAATGCATCTCGGATAGCACCAAACAATTCCAAAACTGGGTACAAGCGCCCAATCCCGATACCTATAACCCGTACGTTCGATCGACCGAAATCGATGACGTTTGAATATTTAATTGAATGTAAATTTTGGTTATATCCGCAGAATCAATCCAAATATGCGCGGCATCGTTTACTGCGCGGCCATCCAATACGGCACGGAGCACGAGTGGGACTTTGCATTCGAGCGCTATGTGAAGACGAACGTGCCGGCGGAGAAGGAGTTGCTGCTGAGCGCGTTGGGCTGTTCCAAGGAGCCGTGGCTGCTCTACAGATACCTGCGTCGCTCCATTGCCGGCCAGCACATACGCAAGCAGGATGTGTTCCGTGTCTTTGCCGCCGTCTCCACCACAGTGGTGGGTCAGCAGATTGCGTTTGATTATTTGCGCAACAATTGGCAGGAGATAAATACTTAGTAAACTGACCTACAGAAATCCTCTAGCAAAGCCGTATATAATTCCTATTTAATTCCAGCATGGGCTCACAGATATCCAACATTCACACGCTGCTTAAGTTTGCCAGCAAGCGCATGAACTCGAAATTCCAACTGGCCGAGCTGGAAGACTTTGTCCGGGATGCACGCTGGGCATATGACAGGCCGATTCAACAGATTTTGGAACAAGTCGACATAAGTGTCGAGTGGATGAACCGCAACTACAACGCGATTGTCAAATGGCTGCAACGTGAGGTCGGAACACAACCCACGTAGGCAGAAGGTCACGGATCACGTCCCAGCGAGCGGCTGATCTGCAGCAGTATTACATTTTCTAAATGAAATTGGAATTCACAATTTTTAGCATCGGGCAACCAGTGCATTTATGTATTTATATTTTATGTGTATGTCCTTAGTATTTATATCGAGTATCGTCACAGGACAAGTCAAAGCCAAAGAAACAAGAGAACCACTTGTCCATACAAAATATAAAGAAATCCATTGTAAAGTTTATGTTTACTTTTAAAGTCCTTTTTGCTAAGAGCTAGGAGAATCTGGTACTTTTATTGCGAATATTCTTATATTGTACTTAAATGTAAATGAAATAATCATTAAATGTTTAAACTCGTAAACATTTCGAGAATGTATTGGAATGCTTAATCACTTTTCACAGCATATCTTCTCCAACGACCAACTGGAAGACTTAGGACATTGGCAAACATCAGAGTGCCCACAAAGACGAGCACGGTGCCCAGCCAGTGATAGATTGTAAACGGATTACGAAAGTAGATAATCGAGAAGACTAGCGATACGAATTTGCGCAATGTCAGAATCAAGGTGACGGTCAGGGAGCTGCACTCAGTGGTCAGGAAATACACAGAGCTAATGCACAGATGCTGCATCAGAATATTCCCAATCAAATAGAGGAGCAAAAGAGGCACAACTACACCACCCAGCCATTCGAATCGATAGGTTTCACTTTCCATCGCCATAGTCCAGTGCGCTTTGATGTTGTCATGCATGAAGAAGAACGCGGGCAAAGGCAACAGGTGGGTGTAGAAGAGTGCCTCGCGAGCGCACTTGCCATGTTTGCGATACAGCAGTTCCTGTGTGATGCCCATGTACGAGGAGATGAATAGCGCCAGCACCAGGAGCAGGACACCAACTAGCCACCAAAATATATTTGCTTCAGCGTCACCATCGCCATGCCGTTTATCCACTTCCACATCCTGGCTAGAGAAATACGTGCAGATGAAAATGCCCACGGTAATCATGATGACTGCTATATACTGTTCAAGCCGATACTGACGTTTGAGGATTATAGTGCCAAGGCACATGTTCGATATGAGACTGCCTCCACGTATGATCATGTGCAGCGTCATGGGCACATTCAGATGGAACACATAGTTATTGCACACACTTGTCAGAAAGAACATAACAACAAGCAGACCATAATCCCGCAGACTTATCACACGTTTCACAGTGCCGAATTTGGAGGTGAAGACGAATCCCTCCAAGGCAATAAATGCAAACTGACCAGCGGTAATCAAATTACCTGCACCCGGATCCAATTTGACGATCAATTCCAGAAATACAACAGCGCAGCAACATCCAACAAAGACATTGGCCGTGGCCAAACAAGCGCGAAGATTCATTGCACTGGCCAAGCCAATTGGACTGAAATTATTTCAATAAATATATTTGAGCTAGCTAAAAAATTATAAGACCGTCTCACCTTTGACCATGTGTTCAAGCCATTGGCCCTTTGCCCAACAACTTTCTTTTAACCATGTCAACAAAAACAAATGCCACAGGTAGGCAAAGGGAAGGTACGCTGATCAGATACCAGGGATACTAAACTATATTGAAAAATTAAATCAAATAGTTCTATGTTATTTTGAAAACTGATTTGTACAAAATAAAACCTGCGAATTAAAGGAACAAATATATGGAAAACACTTTAAAGTATAATTAATTAATTGGAAAATATATATACGAACAAACGTTGTTCCATTTACTTGAGCAACTATTTTTTGTTCCGCTTTAAATGCGTTAACACAGCTCCGACTTAACAGACTTCCAGTTACCAAACTACAGAATGATGAAGTATTTTTGACGTCTGTAAAGTTAACAGTTTTACGTTATGTTTTTGAATTTTATATATTTTATATATTTAACTTTATATAAAAATTTGACAATTGTTCATGTCAATTTAAAAACACTTTTTAATTATTGGTACATTATCGAAAAATTTGAATGGTTTTCTAATATCTTGTGCAGCTTCATTTGATTTTTGCGTCGTAAGTCCATCTATTATTTTATTTATTTATTTGATTTTTATTTCTTTAAACAGCACATATTCTAATTACTTTTCCAATAACTAATAATGAATAAATAGTAGGATTGTTCTTCCCACAGAGCTATGTTAATTAAAATAAAGCCTAAGTTTATATTTAGAAAAATGAATCATATTGCAAGTTCTGTCTTTCCCCTAACTTGTTTAGCTTTATAAAAATACCATTAAAGCCAGTCATCGACTTTTTTTGACTATTAATATATATTTTCTTATACGGAACTCAAGCAAACTATTACTGACAAAGCTCCAATAGGTATTTGATTATGCTTTCACCCTTAACTCTTTAATTGTTTAGCCAATATGTTGCGTGATATATAGCTAGCTCGCTGCCGAAGAGTATGAGGCTAATTATGGTACCGAGTAAATAAGCTAGCAGCACGTCGTATAAGTCCTGGATAAACAACGAATGAAAACTACGCACTTCGCCAAAATCCTGAATTTTCAGTTTGCCCGCCTGCACCATGTAGTAGAAACTCTTGGTCACCCAATAGTTATGCAGACCCGATTCACTCAACTGCAAGATGAAATTATGAAGCGTGGCGCGATGCGGCGAGTTCTCAGGAATGACCAGGCCGAAAGGCACATATTGATAGAGACAAAAGTTTTCCGAGTAGTAGAACAAGGGGCGGTGGCTGAACGCCTGCTGCTCCGCGTACAGCTGCCACTTGGTGTAGGTTACGGTGTAGGCGTACGATGTGTTCAGGGAGTTGCGGTGCCACTGCAGGTCCGACATCTTGTTGCTGAGGTAGAACACCTGCGAGTATCTCGTGCGCATATCAAAGTCATACAAATTGTGTTCGGATCTGATCCCGAAGATGCGCAGCTTGGAATTGGATAGGGCATCAAAGCTGGTAATGGATGTCTTAGTGGGCGGTGCAATAAAGACCATCAGCAGCCTGCCCTGCACATTGCATATCAACATTATGGCCAGCACCTTCCAGCCAATGCCAAGTTGACGTCTATAGCGTTGCCAACGACACCTCATCTGTTCGTGGAGTAGCCAAAGCACTGCCAGCAAGCAGAAGGTAATCGCTGGCATCATCCATAGGTACGCCTCTCGCAGCTCGATGAAGGGCTCCTTGGGCAGCATGGTACACCAGCTGGCGATGTTTCCTGGATACGTGTACTGATGATAGCGGTCCAAGTGGCGCAGTGTCAGTGGCTGCACGCTTGCCGCTATATCCACGATGTTGTCGCGCGCCAGGTCCAATACTTGGATGTGGGTCAAGTACTTCAGCTCCTTCCCCTGGTCGATCAGCTGCAAGCTGGCGTTGTGTTTGCGCGAGAACTCTGACACCATATTCCAGACGTAGCCCAGCAGCCGAATATCCCCAGCCTTATCGCGATAGAGGATCGTGTTTGGCTCTGAGAGATCGGGCATCGTGCGAATCCGATAGCCCATCAGATCAATTGTTTTGTCCGGAAATATATTTTGCTGATCCGAAAATGTTTGACTCTTCAGCATGAATTCGGGATACGCATCGTACACGTATAACGTCTGGGTCTGCCCAAAGTCTCGAAAAATGATGGCAGCATTGAGCATCTGACTTTCCAGACAATATTGCAACACTCGGCTGACCAGGGCCACATCCTGATCGCTTGCCAGTTCTATGAGCAGTTTGGTCTCCCGTATATACTGCAAGCTGGTTGCAATTGTCTTCAGCAAATCGAGGCGAAAGAGTCCAGGCAAGCACGCCACGAACACCAGCTGTGCATTGACCAAGCTGCTCAGCTTTACAGCATCCACTGACCGCCACAAGAGCAAAGGAATGCTCTTATCCACCCACGATAGCAGCTTAACCAATTGACACTCCTCACTTCCATTCTCGGGATCATAATATACAATTGTTGTAATGCTGTTGAAGCGAACAATGGCGGAGAGCAGCTCAGCGTACACTTTAAGACTATCATTCATGGCTAATGCCCCAATGCAACTGATTGAGCGTATTACCTAGCAATTATTATTAGAAGCACATATGTATATAATATTTATACACTTGATATTTGGGAGTCTTATTAATGACAATAGGTTTGCTTTCAAAAAAATTTAATGACTGGATATAATATTCGTACTCTCATTTCAAAGCTTACATATAAAAAAATTTTTTATTTTTGTTGATTTATTTTTATTATTTTAAAGGCTACATATATTTTATATCTTTGCAGCTACATATAAACATTTAGACAAAGGTGCAGAAGAGTATTTAAGCCACCAGCATTCAAAATAGAAATATTACGTTAATTATTTGCTTCGGCTCAAACTTTTACAATGTGTTCAGGCAAACATTGATATAGTGCGAAAGCAACTCAATGACAAATATCAGTATTGATGCGGCCATTGCGTAGCCATATAGCAGCAGTACAAAATCTATGTCAGTGTACTTCAGTGGTGCTATTTCGTTCTGTGGACTCAAGTCCTCGAGTTTGTGGTGGCCCGCGTGCAGTAAATCGTAAAAATTGTGCCTCATGTAAAAGTTCAGAATTCCGCTTTGACGCAAGCGAACAATATACAAATTTAGCTGATGCCGATGCAAAAAGTTTTCTCGAAACAATAACGAGTTAAGTGATTGTCGAAAGATACAAACATCTGTGGAGTACCGAAATAAGGGTCGCTTGAAGTAGCTCTGCAGTTCCGCGTAGAAATGCCACTTGAGGCCGAAGACCGTGTAACCATATGAGGTATTCAGACTATTCCGCAGCAATACAAATTTGGTCATGTTCTGGTATGATATGAAGGTCGATGCGTACTTGATTCGCATCTCCTCGGGATACTGATTAAATCCGGACTGCAATCCGACTATCCGTAATCCAGCTGCCTGCAATTGGTCCAAATTGGAGATGAATTGAAGTCGTTGGGGATGAATAAATAGCGCCGAAAGCTGCGCTACCACTGTGCAGAGCAGCGTGAGTTGAATCAGTGAGGGGATTAAGATCAGGAGGGCTCTGCCCAGAAATTGACGTTTGCGTATCCACCGTGTCAAATAGTAGATTATGGCTATGTAGACCCACATCCAGGGCGACTCCAGCACTCCTCGGATGGCCGCACGGGGACTCACCATACGCTCAACTGGCAGCATCGTGCATAAGCCTCTGACGGCAACGGGAGTGCTGAACATTGGAATGTCGCTTCTCGACGACATAGTCATCGGATAGATGCTGATGGTGACGTCAATTTCATTGTTTTGCGCTTGCTCCAGAAGTTTGAAATATCCGCTCCTTATGGAGTTGACTTGGCTCAAAGTGGGATCCAAGCTCAGCTCCAATGTGGCATTTAATTTTTTTGCAAACAGGCTCAATATACGCCAGAGCATACCACTAGTTACCGCATTCCCATTGCGATCCTTGTACATAACTACATACGGCTGAGATAGATCGGGTCGTGTCCTTAAAACCTGCCCCTGTAGATTGGCCAGCTTATAGGGATAGAGGGGCGAGGTGGCATTGTAGACCTGCGATAGTAATCCGAATGTGGGAAACATCCGATATCCGTAAAAAGTGCCTGTCTTAAAGAAATCACTGAACAGAAGCAGCGCGTTCGGAATAAGCAAATCCTGGCATTTCTTAAGAATATCTCGGCTCAGCTGCAGCTGTAGTTCGACTCGACTCGAATCCTTGTCGCAAAGCTGTAGCAGCAGTGGCACCTCCCTCATGTGGTTCAGCATAACGCTCAGCGCGTTCAGCACGGTGTTATACGAGTTGGCGGCCAAGCACACCAAGCCCAGAATATTGACATTCTGTTTTTCCTTTAAATAGGGCCTGTAGTACAGATCGCTCCATACCAAAGTGGCTGCGGTTACGTTGCTTCCACTCAGTAATTTTTCAATCGAGCACTCGCACTCTTCGGCCTTGTAGTGCAAAACTGTGCCGAATCGCAGCTCAGTTAGCAAATGCAACCAAAAGCTAGCCAACTGCTCGGAATTGGGAAAATTGTTCCCGGACTGTTTCACCCACATTTTGAAAGTAACTGTTGAATTGGAAATTTGTCCTGGATGCTTTTATAAGCGCGCCACAGAATTGAACTGTCAGCATGTTTAAGGGCTGACTTGCATATAAGCGTAGCCAATGCAAATCGAACATCTAGATAGCAAAGTTAATAAGCGTAATCAAAGGTGTAACAAAGCAAGCGCAAAATGTTCAAACTTTCCTCTACATTGAACTGCCGAACTGGTGTTGCTAGCAGTCTTAAAAACAATATTAGCTATTAGCCGGAATTAAACACAGCTGCAGTCCACCGAAAGATCAGTACATTATTCTGATTTACGACTCAAAACACCTAATGTACATATATGTAAATAAGTATGTCAGAATTATAACGCTTCCAATTCGACATTCCAGACATTCCCTGCATTTATACAGGCCGCCAGATGAAATGAACAGGAGGATTGTAAGCCAGACGGAGATTGTACAAAACCAATATGCTTCACTTCATGTGTAATTTTGAGCTCACAACAATGCACCTTTGCCGTCCATTTAATTTACATGTAAACTATCATCCAATATTTCCACAATACAAGAGAGTTTATAATAATAATAATATTCAAGCTGCATACATCTGCAATTAGAAACAAGTAATTAGCTCTCCTCGGCAGAACATGACTGGGAGACCCCCCTGAACTCGGCTGCTTCATTATAAGTTTCATGTCTATATGTATACCTGAAATACATACGCAAATACATACATACATATGTATGTATAAACACGTCCATCAGACTCCATGCAGTGGAAACTTTCCTCTGTATGAAATTTAGGCAAATAATATCACTAACCAATGCGTTCAGTCATATACCTAATTCTAATTTTCACTTTTATCGTTTAAGTGTAATATTTTCCGTTAAATAAAATATATCCGATAAATGATTAATGCTACCCTAAGACTCACGTAATCGTTACTGTAAGAATAATCAGTAGTCGTTACTGGTTCGTGAGTACCGCACATCTCTAAGAGTAATCGCGGTAACTGTCGCTCTCTCCTTCGCATCAATTTCGCGAGCCCGTCACACAGTTTTCTTTTCCACACTGGCTTCATAATTCTTGCGGGTTTACAATCGCATAAAATAATTGAGAAGAGGTCCACGAGTAATAAGAAAAATGAGCGAAACTATTAATACCGCGGCTCAGTTTCCGAGCTTCGAGAAACCGACCGTGCAGTTTAATGAAAAGGGCTGGGGACCATGCGAGCTGCCGGACACGTTTAAGGATGTCCCGTACCAGCCATTCAGCAAAAACGATCGCCTAGGCAAGATCTGCGATTGGACAAGCACCTCCAATAATGACAAAAAGTATCAGAGTATGTTTCATCCAAATTTGTATTTTGCATATGCGTAAAGTGAGGTTATGTTCAAACGCCTTCGCTTTGTTTGTGTGTGTGTCGTGGCATCAAATAGGAGACTAATCATTTGTTTTGCAGACAAATATGCTTCTACCTTTGGCACCGGCAATCAATATGCCTATTATCATGAGGAGGACGAGACAACTTTCCACCTAGTGGATACGGCCCGAGTTCAGAAGCCACCTCATCAACGCGGACGCTTCCGCAATATGCGCAATTCACGGTCTGGACGTGGCCGCAATGCTCGCGGCGGTCTCAATACGCATGGTCATGGCATGACCACACTGAACAGCAAGAATGTGAAGGCGCGTGATCCTCGTCGCGGTGTGGGCAAGCGATTTGGCAATCGTGGTCCCCCACCCAAGATGCGCGAGTCCTCGGTAGCTGTACGTGCCGACTGGGCCTCCATAGAGGAGATGGACTTCCCGCGTCTTATGAAGCTTTCTTTGCCGAACATTAAAGAAGGTGAAGATATTACAACTTGTGGCACCCTCGAGTACTATGATAAGACGTACGATCGCATCAACGTGAAGAACGAGAAACCGCTGCAAAAGATTGATAGAATTGTGCATACCGTAACCACGACTGATGATCCGGTCATACGTCGTCTGTCGAAAACGATTGGTAATGTCTTTGCCACGGATGCCATTTTGGCGACCATTATGTGCTCAACGCGTTCCAACTACTCATGGGATATTGTGATTGAAAAAGTTGGTAAGGTATATTTAGCTTATACCAAAAATAACTGTTCTAACCATACTTTGAACTACAGGAGAGAAGATTTTCATGGATAAACGTGACCATACCGAATTCGATTTGCTAACCGTGAATGAGACTAGCGTTGAACCGCCTACTGATGACGATAGCTCGTGCAATTCGCCGCGTAATCTGGCCATTGAGGCAACCTTTATAAACCACAACTTTAGCCAGCAAGTGCTCAAGACCGGCGACCAGGAGGCAAAGTATAAATTTGAGGAACCCAATCCATTTATCAGCGAAGATGAGGACATCCAAGTGGCTAGTGTTGGCTATCGCTACAAGAAATGGGAACTCGGAAGCGACATTGTAAGCACATCAGTTATTCATTATTCCAATAATGTATATTAATTTGAATACTATTAATAACAGGTTCTTGTGGCCCGCTGTGAACATGATGGAGTGCTGCAAACCCCGAGCGGAGAGCCCCAGTTCTTGTCCATCAAGGCACTGAACGAATGGGACTCCAAACTGGCCAACGGCGTTGAGTGGCGCCAGAAATTGGATACACAACGCGGCGCTGTGTTGGCTAACGAGCTGAGAAACAACGCCTGCAAGCTGGCCAAGTGGACGGTGCAAGCTGTGCTCGCTGGCTCCGATCAACTAAAACTGGGCTATGTATCGCGTATTAATCCTCGCGATCATTCGCGTCACGTTATCCTTGGCACCCAGCAGTTTAAGCCGCATGAGTTTGCCACGCAAATTAATCTGAGCATGGACAACGCCTGGGGTATTTTGCGGTGTATTATTGACCTTGTGATGAAGCAGAAGGACGGCAAATATCTAATCATGAAGGATCCCAACAAGCCGATTATTCGCTTGTACGATATTCCCGATAATACATTTGATTCAGATGATTCGGACGATGGCGAGGGCGATGACGGTGAAGGTTTCCAGCAGGTCTACAATTATGCCAACAACAGCAACAAGATTTAGTTTCATTTCCAGCTCTGTTTGCATCTTAAAGTTATAAACACAAACACATCCAAGCATATAAACATACTCGTATAATCATAACCCAATAACCGGTTAAACAATGCCACAACACAGTTATATATTTGCTGGCATTAGCTTTAATAATTTGATTTTAAGTTGGCTGCAATTGCAAGTGCCACGAATTCCGAGTAAAGCGCAGAATGGAAACAGACTTGTTAAGTTTTGGATTAGGGGTTCTTTATGGGTGGGTCGCCGGGTGGCTGAGTCGTTGCAAAGTTTATTATACCGACCTATACAAGCTCATTTGCAATCGATCACCTCTGACATCTGGCCAATTTATTGAGAGAGATAGCGGGCAGCGGCCGTCTGCTAGCTATCAACTGCTCGTTAATGCTGAGGCAAACTTAGTCTTGACGTGAAGCTCGCGGCGATTATTACACGTAAATTCACGGACGTAATCTGTCAGTAAATGGCGGCATTAAGGCTACAGCTGATATTGCTTGGTGCATTGTGCGGCATTGGCACTACTGGTAAGGTCATTGATGCTTTTTGGTCTTATATTAATAGAGCTGTGCCATCCTGTCCCCCAATCTCTAATCTCCTCTTAACTGGAACCGGTCTTACCGGTTGTCCCAATAGTTTTGTAATTCTAATTAACATATTGACATTGAGCTGATCTCCGTTAGCTGCAACCACTGCGCAATTTAGTTATGGCAGCTGCGATGCGAAGGGCAGCAAGGAACGCGGCCTATGCATTCATATACGAGATTGCCCATTTCTCTTCGAGATACTCAACATAAGCCAGACGACGCCAGAGCAACGTCAGCTGCTCTCCGATAGCCAATGCGGCTTGGATAACACACGGCAAAGCGGCCTAGTGCAGCGTATTCTGGTCTGCTGTCCGGACAGCAAACGGCGGATGCAAGGCCCAGGCACAAGCCCCAGAAATGGAGCAGACACAGAAAATGTAACACCTGTCATAAATCCTTCGGGAGATGAACTCGAGCCGGGTAATGTTTTGCCAAGTATTGGAACTTGTGGGATTATGTTTGCCAATCGCATTATTGGCGGCATCAAGACTGAACTCTTTGAGTTCCCCTGGATGGCGCTGCTCCAATATAAAAAGGGTGAGATTTATAAAACCACATCCAGATTCCAGTCACATCAGTCCGATGTTTTGCTTTTTAACTGACAGCCAATAATGAACTGGGCTTTAACTGCGGCGGCACATTGATCAACTCTCGCTACGTGCTGACCGCCGGCCATTGCGTGGCTAGCAACCAGCTGCAAATGTACGGATGGGAATTGCACAGTGTCCGTCTGGGCGAGTGGAACATAAGCACTGCCCCAGATTGTATCATCGAGCTGGCTAACAAGAAACGGACTTGCGCACCCATGCACATAGACATTGAGGTTGAAAAGTATATCGTGCACGAACTATACATCCCGAATTCGATTGACCAGATGCACGATATTGCGCTGCTACGCCTCAAGCAATTTGTCAGCTTTACGGAGTATGTGAGGCCCATTTGTCTGCCGGTGGGTGATGATGTACGGAACAACAATTTTGAGGATTATGCGATGAACGTTGCAGGCTGGGGTGTTACCGAGGATGGCAAACCCAGCAAAGTGAAGCTTAAGATCACTGTGGACGTGTGGAAGCTTAAAAATTGCCAAGATAAGTACCGCAGCTACCAGATGCATCTGAATAGCTCACAGCTGTGCGCTGGTGGTAAGATAAATATTGACACCTGTCAAGGTGACTCCGGTGGACCACTAATGGTAGCTACCAATGTGGGAATGAAAGAAGTATTCTTTGTGGCCGGGGTCACTTCATACGGCCCAAAACCGTGCGGTCTGCGAGGATGGCCAGGTGTCTATACTCGAGTGGGACAGTATGTGGACTGGGTTTTGGAAAAATTAGAGCCTTAAGTCGATCGTTTACTTTAATAAATAAAATTGGTAATTTATTATTCACATAGTATATCTGGCATTTGCTAGCTTATTAAATTTGAAGAAAGCGCTGTGACCAATCGCTTAATTTACTACATTATAAATAGTGGAATGCTAGGGCTCCCTACCAGATGGAGCTTCATATTTGGACTAAGTGCACTAAGCTACCGCGCAATTTATATAAATACAATATAAATAAAGATCAGAGGCGAACAAGAAAAAGAATTTGCTCAAATATTTTGATAAGAACTCAATATTCAAAAATATACATACAAAGTTCGTAGTTCAATAAATTGAGGGGAAAACTAGACTATGTACAGAAAATATTAATGTTAACAATAAGGCTCTATTGACGTTACACATTTTAAAGGCAATATATGTTTCTTTTGTATACGCATGAACTTGGGGTGAACATAAAACGAAAGAGAGACTACGAACTAAATAAATAAAAGGTTTTTACAAATGATAAGCGACAAATTTAGGAAAAATATCTTCTTTTTTTGGTTATAAAGTTTGTTAGCCGGTCAATAAGCCAAGTAAATAAGATTGATAGTATTCGAGCTGTAATTACTTAAATATAAAAGAAATTGGCCTGCTAGAGGCTCAATTTCAAGAGCAGGTGGTGATAGTCTTGTTTTTCAATATAATAGGCACCACAACGAA